GCGGTCGCCACATACTTGTGGTTCTTCTCAAACAAACAATGTTCTAATCAACTTGAGGCGCCATGCAGGAAGAACAGCTGAATGCAAGTGCATTACTGTTAATCCTTCCCGACCAGAGCTGCTTGCTGTAGGGGCCAGTGACCCATATGTTAGAATATATGATAGAAGAATGATTAAACTAACCAATTTACAGGTAAATAATAATTTATATCTTATGAATGAATTAAATTGTGTAGCTGGAAGCATTCTAGGTGCTGTTATATAGCCTAAAAGTGTTACTTTGTTTATTAAGTTCAAAAGGTTGATAAAGATGTTGCTTGCTACTCTAAACATAAGAATGTATGTCTCCCATGACAGAACCCTCCAGGTGGAATGTCAAGGAGTCAGTGGGAGAGAAGTAACTATGCGACCAGTCAGCTTGACTCTTCTGCAGACAATCTTCCCCCCGGCTGTGTACAATATCTAGTTCCAGGTTGGTGCTTATTAGTTTATGTTAAGAATCAAGGTGGTGTTGTAATACTTTTCATTTTTTGTTGTTTTTTCAAAGGAACATGCAATTGTAATAAATAAGCAAAATTGTAAAAACACACACATACACTCATGCGTGCGCACACACGCACACACATGCCCACACACGCCCACACACGCCCACACATGCATACACACGCCCACACACGCACACACACGCACACATACACACACACATACATACATGAACACGCACATGGACACACACACATGGACACACAATCAGACATGAATGCAGACACACACGCAGACACACTCACACGTACACACACACAGACACACTCACACGTACACACACACACACACACACTCACGAACACACACACACTCACGAATACACACACACGAACACACACACACTCACGAACACACACACACTCACGAACACACACACACTCACGAACACACACACACTCACGAACACACACACACTCACGAACACACACACACTCACGAACACACACACACTCACGAACACACACACACTCACGAACACACACACACTCACGAACACACACACACTCACGAACACACACACACTCACGAACACACACACACTCACGAACACACACACACTCACGAACACACACACACTCACGAACACACACACACTCACGAACACACACACACTCACGAACACACACACATACACGAACACACACACATACACGAACACACACACATACACGAACACACACATACACGAACACACACACATACACGAACACACACACACATACACGAACACACACACATACACGAACACACACACACACGAACACACACACACACACACACACACGAACACACACACACACACACGAACACACACACACACACACGAACACACACACACACACACGAACACACACACACACACACACACACACACACACACACACACACACACACACACACACACACACACACACACACACACATGCACATGAACACATGAACACGCACATGGACAGACACACACACATGGGCACACACACATGGACACACACACATGGACACACAATCAGACATGAATGCAGACACACACGCAGACACACTCACACTTACACACACACAGACACACTCACACGTACACACACACACACACACACACACACTCACGAACACACACACACTCATGAACACACACACACTCATGAACACACACACACTCACGAACACACACACACTCACGAACACAGACACACTCACGAACACAGACACACTCACGAACACAGACACACTCACGAACACAGACACACTCACGAACACAGACACACTCACGAACACAGACACACTCACGAACACAGACACACACACAAACACAGACACACTCACAAACACAAACACAGACACACTCACGAACACAGACACACTCACGAACACACACACATACACGAACACACACACATACACGAACACACACACATACACGAACACACACACATACACGAACACACACACACACACACACGAACACACACACGAACACACACACGAACACACACACGAACACACACACGAACACACACACGAACACACACACACACACACACACACACACACACACACACACACACACACACACACACACACACACACACACACACACACACACACACACACCAAAAAAAAAAGAAAAAAAGAAAAAAAAAATAGATACGAGAAAGAAAGTAGACTATTGATTATTCAACCATTACTAGTCATAATGATTGCTTACTATAATACCATTTGTTATCCTAAAGGTCACCTTCCTGATAAGCTGAAGGAATACTATAGACGTTACCGGTCGTTGGCAACTACCTACTTGACATATAGTAGTGATGGCACTCATCTGTTAGCTAATTTAGGTGGTGAACACATATACCTCTTCAACACAGCAAGTCCTCGTCAACCTAGGCAATATTCAATATCAAATGTTGTAAAACATTCTAAAGGTAAGGTTGCATCTCGGAATGATAGTTTTGTAGTCATGTCTGTTGATATATAGTTACATAATAGTCATAGTTGTGATTAGTAAAAACTAGTTATTGCCATATTCCACATCTGATTTCATGCTAGTTGTAGTTTTGATTAATGTTTACTTAATCCTTCGATTTAAAAGACCCCAAGGCAAAGTCAATATTTGTCTGATTTCTAAAATTGATAATTCTGTTTTATTCCACCCTCTCTAAGTCCTCATCTTCCTCCATTACCCCTTGGTACAGAAAAAGGTGGGAAGATTAATGCATTATATGGGAATTTCAGTAAATGTGTGTATGCCTTCTGTATATATTAGTTTTATTGCAGTGGAATCATCCAAAATCTCCTTAGTAATTACACTAATACCTTGGAACTCAGTGCCATGCATCAAATTTTGATTATAGATTACATTTTCAGAATCTGATGGCCCATCAAATGGAGTATGCAAGTCAATTGCTTCTAATACAAATGGTATATCCTGTCATCTTACTGGAGGAGGGGAACGAATAGGGTATCATGCACAAGCCCAGCCTTTACCTCCACAAGCAGAAATACTTAAAGCTAGAGCTAATCAGGCCTTTGCTGCAGAGAAATACATCACTGCATTGCACCTGTACAACCAAGCTGCACAGATATGCCCAAACTCTGCTGTCCTGTATAGTAATAGAGCTGCTGCTTTGATGAAGCGAAAGTGGTAAGTTAAGACAATGGTGGATACTGTACAATGTGTGGTGGGGTTATTTGATGATAGTAGCATAGTTTCAGTATTTTATTTATTTATTTATTTATTTATTTTTTTTTTATTATAGCATGTGCATGTGAGGATTGTTTTTTGTAAATGATATGTGACAAATTAATACCTATGGTTCCTTAGTTATCCGTATATTTCAAGAATGGTTTATTATTTTACAGTTGCAAAAATGTAGTGCATCTGTAATGATTGATTAATATGATAATAACTGCAATATACCATACTTGAAACATGAAGCATACACAATATTATAAATTATGTGTATATATGGAGATATAGGTTAAGATGTATAGTATATGTAAATAAAATATACAATGGATATTTCCAGGGAAGGTGATATATATGCTGCACTGAAAGACTGTTTCACGGCATTAGAGATTGATCCTCACCACGTAAAGGCGCACTTTAGGTGGGTGATTCTTTCCATTTTGTTTGACAAATTTCTTTGTCATTGCAAGTTTAGATATAGCTGCTGTTCATGAAATTGTTTTATCATATCTGAAGAATCAGTACTAATATTTAAGGACTTTGTAACACCATAAGAAAAAAATAATATGCTGAATCTAGAAATCTTCATAAAAGCCATCAGAAAAAATGAATTATAAAAACCCTGGAATAATTCGATATTTAGCACATTGATAATATTCTCTTTTGAGATAGTTACACAAACATGTCTATCTTAGGATTATTGTACTATTATCTTTTAAAAGATATACATTCAGTGTAGAGACTAGAAGAGTGACTATTTCAAAAGTCTAAAATCTTTGTCTAGATTGGCGCGATGTTTGCATCAACTTGGCCGTGAGCAAGAAGCACAACTTTGCCTGGAGGAGTTTAGAAGACAACATCCAGATCACAGTTCATCACCTGCCTGCTCTGCACTAGCTCATGATATTACCAGCTCCATTTTACAATTGCAGAATGGAAGTAAGTGATGTGAGAACTTGTCCCGAATGAGTAGTGTAGGCACAAAAGTATAGTGGAAACCTTGCATCTTTTTTATGAATCCAGTAATAAGTGTAGATTTTTTGTTTTAACCTCTTGGTGCCGGGTGACGCCGATCGGCGTGTAAACAAACCGCTCGAAAGCTGGCATGCGGCTGTACTCTGCGGTGGCGCGCCAAAGTGCAGTGAGCCAGTGATTCGGATTGATGTCCCCTACTCATGCGCTCAAAGTCGGCGCGCCACCTTTGTTTGCTAGAACGTAGAGTTTTTTTTTTTTTTTTTTTTTTTTTTTTTTGTACACCCGGCGTCATTGGGTTAATTTTAGGGAAAGTAGAAAAATAATTCTTTATTTAACCCATTGCCGCTTGGGGATGGCATGTACGTACATGCCATGCCCACTGTGAGTCGACTTGTTTGATTGTTTTTACACATAGATGGCTACACTTGTACTAAGTCGCCAATGAGCCAATTACAAGTACTGCCTGTCCCGCCCATTCACCCTTTTCATCGATTTACGAAAATATTTAACATTATCCTAATTTGCTGTTAAAAATAACGCCATCTATATTTATAGCACTAGTAAGAATACGTTTTTTTTTTCCACCAATTCAAGGAAAGGTGAAATCAGGACTAGCAGAGTCATCTATATTTCACAAAAATATGAAAAATCAGTACAGCATTTTCCCCATTTTTTATTCATTTTCCCCGGCAGCAATGGGTTAAATGTTAATATTCAGAAGAGTAGTGATTTTTGTGATGAGATAAACTGCGAAAAACAATGCAAGATGTTTTTACTCTAGAAAAATGTTTGATGTGGAAAACTGTTGATAGCTTTTGGAACACAGCTGATTTTGGCCTTCAGAGTTACCAAAGTAAAGATTCTGGTATAGATATTATACAATTTTTGGACGATCTTTTGTCTAACTCCCATTAGCTCAATAGTTAGAAAGCAGTGTCCAAGATTTGCACATACATTCACTGTTTTTTTCCTATTTTTTCACTTCTTTGAATATATTATGTAATAATTTTTTTTTTTTGAAGAGAAGCCTACAAGTGAGTGATGGGTGAGTGAGTGAGTGATGCATGGATGAGTGAGTGAGAGTGTAAGTGAGTGATGAGTGTGTGAGTAATAGGTAAGTGAGTGAATGAGGAAAGAGGAAGGGGAGAGGGAGAGGAAGAGGGAGAGAGAGGGAGAAGGAGAGAGAAAGAGAGAAGGAGAAGGAGAAGGAGAGAGAGAGAGAGAGAGAGGAGAGAGAAGGAGAGAATAGGAGAGAGAGAGAGAGAGAGAAGGTGAAGGAGAGAGAGAGAGAGAGAAGGAGAGAGAGAGAGAAGGAGAAGGAGAGAGAGAGAGAGAGAGGGAGAAGGAGAAGGAGAGAGAGAGAGAGAGAAGGAGAAGGAGAGAGAAAGAGAGAGAAGGAGAAGGAGAGAGAGAGAGAGAAGGAGAAGGAGAAGGAGAGAGAGAGAGAGAGAGAAGGAGAAGGAGAGAGAGAGAAGGAGAAGGAGAGAGAGAGAGAGAAGAAGAGAGAGAGAAGGAGAGAGAGAAGGAGAGGGAGAGGGAGAGGGAGAGGGAGAGGGAAAGGGAGAGAGAGGGAGGGGGAGAAGGAGAGAGAGGGAGGGGGAGAAGGAGAGAGAGGGAGGGGGAGAAGGAGAGAGAGGGAGGGGGAGAAGGAGAGAGAGGGAGGGGGAGAAGGAGAGAGAGGGAGGGGGAGACGGAGAGAGAGGGAGGGGGAGAAGGAGAGAGAGGGAGGGGGAGAAGGAAAGAGAGAGAGAGGAAGGAGAGAGAGAGGGAGAGAGAGGAGAGTGTGTGTGTTGTAGAGAAATCATGTTATCCTGTATTTTTCTTCCCTTATATATAAAGGAAAAAGTAAAGGCCTATATAACTTACACTAAAAGAGTTAGTTTCTTCAGATAATAGCAGTGAGGGAGATATGGATGAAGAAGGACTCCTGGGTGTATTGCCAACGCCTAGTACACAGGAACAGGAATGGCGGGTAAGAGCCACAGACTATCATAAGTCGTACTGTGGCCACTGCAACACCACCACCGATATTAAAGAAGCCGCTTTTCTTGGAAAGTGAGTAGTCCGCACTTTTTGTTTATTATGTTTTGCTGTCACTATGAACATCAACATTGCTGTTTTTCTTGATATTGGTTTATGAAATCTCCAGACAGGTATTCAAAGTTAGAAACTTTTGGTGGTTGACCTTTTCAACATATCAAAGATGTAGAAAATGTGTTAAGCAGAAATACTCAAATTTGAAATGTATACAACATATTGTAACATATTGTAATAGTCTTTTTTGTCAAAAGTTAAAGTGCTCAAGCAGTGATACCTGTTTCAGGGATGGCGAATTCATAGCAGCAGGGTCAGATGATGGAAATTTGTTTATTTGGGATCGTGAAACCACAAACCTCATTCGTGTTATTCCGGGAGATGAATCCATTGTTAACTGTGTCCAGCCCCATCCACACACCTGTTTATTAGCCACAAGTGGAATTGAGTCGGTTGTGAAACTTTGGGCCCCTCTTCCACAGGTATGTATAGATTGATTTTATGGTAATATGTATTATTTTCCTATTCTTCCTTACCATTTGACAGCACTAATGAGCAAGAACAGAATATTTTATAATTTTTGTTTAAGGAAAATATAGAAAAAGAAATAAAGAATTTAGATAATGTACTCATAAAAGACTGCATTTGATGTCAGGAAATTTTGTAGACATTCTCGATATTTTAATAAACCCTTTTTTTTTTTTTTTAATAAATTAAAGCATTTTTGAAAAAGAACTGGACACACTGGGTTTCAAAACACATATTTCCATAGGTTTGATTTATATGATTTTATTAATTTGAATTTTTTCATAGCTGGATAATGAAGATCTTCAAAGTATGGACTTTGAGAAAATGGAAAAAACAGCCCAAGCCAACCAGCAACGCATGAGTGCTGATCCATTGGAGATGATGCTGATGCACATGGGCAACATGGCCCATGTGTTTGGAGGAGGCGGTGGGGGTGAGGGGAGAGGTGGAGGAGGAGGAGGGCCAGGCGGCGATAATCCCTCGCGGGACCCTTCTCCTGGCGGCCAGAATGATCGCAACTTGGCAGACGTCCAATGTCGTACTAGCTGAGCCCAGCCAGTGAAGTGTTCACACTTGCCTGGCAACCTTATTGAAATGAGACTGTGATGGATGCTCCTTGTCGTTGGTCTGAATTCTGAAAAAACCCTGAATGGAAATTCTTAGGATTGTGGTCCCTGCTTTGTCAGTCATTTTACTTTGTTATACAGGTGTAGTACCAAAGAAGTCTTTCTCAAATAGGTATTTCAGATTCTAGGCCTTTGTTGCAGGAGTCTCTTTAGCTTAGAACTAATCAAGTGACTTGTGTGGTGGAGGATATGAGTATCACATGTACTTCAACTACAACTAAGATCTTTCATCTTATTGATAGACTAGAAATCAGATTCTCTTGTTTTATGCAGTCAGAGATTTGAAAAACTTCTCTTTTGATTGTAAGTGGATTGTTCAAGAACTTTCAGTTATTTTTTATTATTATTATTTTTTTTATGATTTCTGGATTATATAAAGTTGTATGTTTGGCAGTTCAGCCTTCAGTTAAACAGAATGTAGACAATAGGTTCATTCATTCTCAAAACCAGTAAAAGCAGTCTTTACTGGAACTTATAGTGTCAAATTAGTATCTGTGTATTCTGCAGTGTAAGTATAAATGGTTATTTTGTTATTTATTAAGTTACAAGTAGTTTAAATTGAAAATGCAATACAAGTTAAACTACGTTTTCAAATCTTGTGAGCTCATTCAACCTCTTCCCCTGCCAGGCTTATAAACAGCTTACATTTGAGGCTGTTTGATATGCTAAATATTTATACTGGTGCTCTGATGTGCAGTTTAATTCATGTACATAATCATTTGTGTGAAAGTTATATTTTGTAAAACAACTTTGATATATCTATATATATATAAATATATAAATATATAAAATCTTCGAACAGGGTACATCAGCAGTTACTATCAAATGAGTCAGTACATGCTAATGTACTTGTATATACATGTATATGTTTAATGACTGATTATGTTCCAAAGAATTTGGGCAAAACATTGTATTAGGCAACATTATATAATACTTTTGTTCTGCCTTATTATTATGATTTTCTTTGCTTAAGCCATACATTTTATATTTGCATCCTGCATTTTCTATACAGATATTCCACTTTTTGTTGTTGATTATAAGATTCATCCAGAAAAGATAATGCTTTTGAAAGCGATAAAAAAATATTCCATTTCTAGGCATTGTAAATATTGTGTGCTTTATCTGTTGTTTCTTCTGTATGTAGCTGAAATGAACTTGTCTGAGTATGACATGGTTTCTCTCATTCTTTATTTTCTACCTATATTTGATATGTTTATTTTTGTTATGTGAAATGCTGTAAATAATTTTGAAGTTATGTCCTACTGTATATGAGATATAGTGGCTTATCCTCTTCACATTTTGCCCAATTTACTCTAAGAAGGCATGTTCATTAGGGGACATTCTATGAAAATGTTTGTATTCTCAGAAAAAGAAAGAGAAACTTGTGTATTTAGTAAGTAAATATATGAAACCTTCAGTCTTTCTGGAAAGATTCCCTTAGTGGTCAAAAAATATACTTATTTGTCACTATTAATGTGATTCCTTGGTATGTTTCTGTGTTTGCTTACAGTACATGCATAGCTGTTTTTTACTTTTCCTGTGTTTACCTTATTACAAGATTTGTTTCTATTAATATATTTTCACTTGCTCTCTGCTGTGGTAATGTGGTCTTGTTAACTTACTCCTTTTATAGAAGTACCCAGTTGATAACAGAACTGAGAAAAAGAGAAAAAAATGTGCAGTCATAGCATTCATTAACACTAGTTATACCCACTAAATGGTCTCATGCTGCCTACCTTCCTCATATGCTCTTGTATAATCAGTGAACTTTTGATTAAAAAACTTTGTGTATCATGGAGGAAAGTGATAAAGTTTTAGCTGATAACTGCCTTTAACCCTTATTTTGCGGGTGGCATCTACTTTGATGCCATGATGGCGTAGCACCGATGCACTGGTGGCATCCCTACTGCTGCAGCCCATACGGATGTAACTGTTTGGCGGTCAGCATGTCCCCCAAAAAAGCCCACACACATTGGGTTAAACAGTTATGTTCAACATTTTTCTTTTGATTTTTCAGATGTAACTTTGGAGGGGTTATGACACCCCTTTCAGGCACACTCCCACCTTTGATTTTAAGTGAAGTGGGGTACAGATAATGACAGTTTTCTCAATGTATAAGATATATTTATTCTTGATATTTACATTCAAGGACCCATGATAATGTTAAGAGAATACATACTACTATGAAGTTGTCATTATAAGAGCATGTATTTATTCTCATGTGTCAGCATGATAGACTAGGCCCATACATAAAGTATTGTTCATGGAATACTCTCCATAATGAAAATGTGATGTATAATTGGTACTAAATGCCTAATGTATACATGTAATATTTCATGATAGTCTAAAAAAAAACCAGGACTGTGAATATTAATTAGACTCAAGCCATAACTTTATTCAGAATTGATATTGCTATTATCATTATTATTCCTCCATTTTAGAATCCAAAGGTATTATGTATTAAACATTAAAATGCTAAAAAATTGGCATGTTTGGGTTTTAAGTTTCCTCTTTTTTTATGTGTTAGAATTTCAATATCCCTTTCAGTAAAGGTCATGGGGCTGCTTCTGAGTGTGCATGGGCTCTTAAGAAAATGTTTCATCATGTTATTATTGATTCATAACTATTTTACTGTAAATGTATGTGCCCGGTGATATTTCATTACTTCCTCTGTTTCCTTATGGGAAATCTTTCTATGGCTGCATTTTTACAAGTGGATATTTTAATTTGTTATCCTTACACAAAGTAGCATGGTGACATCAGTATGAAAATATTGGAGGTTGGTAGTATCAGAGACTAGTGGGTATACTAGCATAATGTATTTTATGGATAAAGTAACAAAAAGAATATACAAATGTCTTTCTGCAACATTAACAAATACATAAGGCAGGTGCATTTTAGTTGAAGTAACTTCTTTGAATTTTGTTCATGAATTGTGAGTAAGTTTATTCAAGCTATGATATTAAACTTAGATTGGCGCAAAACTTATTTTATACATTTTTAAAAATGTCTTTTGTTTATGAATTAGCAAAATTTATATAGTACCCTACTACATACTCTTCAACACATAGATATCTGTATTCAGATCTTTCTTCTGTTAGTCTAACTTAGTTATGATAATCCCAACTCAATTTATGTGTATTACCTGTAATAAGGCCAACTTTCATAATACATACTAGTCATAGCTGAAGTGACATTAGAGTTCAGTAGCAATAGTAAAATGGCACAAATGTTGTGATAATGATAGCACTTGCACTAATGATACTAATAATATTTCCAGAACCCCTCAGAGAAAATGCATATAATGAGTTTGACTGAATATTCACACAAAAGTATTTATATCTTCTTTTTCCCATATATGGATTACAGTAGACAGGTCAAACTAAATCAATGGAATGGCAGTTAGTTGGATTTGTAACATAAATATTAATATTTTAGGATCTGGAGATGTACTAAAATATATCTTGCCTCCATTCTATTACACATTATTGTTTACTCTCTTTTAAACTTCAGTGCAGATAAAATCAGTTGCCCTCATCAAGTTGATGGTTCAACCCTTCATTTTCTGTTTGGTTGTGTGGTATGCCTTGTTAACCTAAATCCATTGGGCATGGCATGTGCATACATGCCATGCCCGCTGTGAGTTTTTACACATAGATGGCTACACTTGTACTAAGTCACCAATGTGCCAGTTATGAGTACTACTTGTCTCACCTGTTTACCCTTTTCCTTGATTTGCAAAAATATTTTATATTATCTTATATTGCTGTTATAAATGTCTCTAACATTTTAGTAATTATAATGTCTATGATAAAATAACCCAATCGATATTCATTGTATTAGTATAAAAAAATGTTTTTCCCACCAATTCAAGGAAAGGTGAAATCAGGTAAAGTAACAAGGTCTACTAATTAACTCCTTTGTGGCTAAGTAATAGCAGAGCCATCTATGTGCAGAGATATTAAAAAAGAAAAATGAGCACAGCATTTTCCTGGCAGTTTTGAATTAATATGAAAGAGGCAGTGCTCTATACACAGGGTTGCATTAACCTATTCGCCCCACGTGGCAAGGATAGATGCCATGCCCACTTTGATACACATTTATTTATTGTATTTACACATAGATGGCTCCACAAGTTCTTAATCACCAAATAACCAGTTTATCGGAACAACCTTTCTCACCTGTTTACCCTTTTCCTTCACTTTAGAAAAGGGTCTTTTGTATCATTTCATTGTCTAAAATATTCTAATGACAATTTAATAATCATAACATCAATAACAATAATAACAGTATCGATAGCAATGGTATTAATTTTCCCGCCAATTCAATGAATGGGAAAATCAGGATCGGTAACTAGGGCCTACTGATAGACTCCTTGCCGGCTGAGCACATATGGAGCCATCTGTAGGTAACAAAATTCACCAAAAACTACAGGGGACAGAACATAAATCCGGGGCGAATGGGTTTATGACCTCAGAGAAGGTTAACTTCTTATATACTGGACATAATATTCTTCCTTTTAAATGATGATTTTTCCTATGCTAACTCTGCTTCCCTATCTTTCTCAGTCAGTATTTTTTCTTCTGTGATATTTCGATATCTGTAAAGCTGACCAGTCTACTTGAAACATCTTGTTTATTATTTTCAGAATAAAAGAATTAAAGGAATGATAATGTAGAAAGTGCATGGTCACATCGCTTAAATCTAATCTTGCATAAAAAGAACTGAATGAAGATATTATTTATACAAGAATTCCTAGGTCCAGGTAAGAAACTGCAAAGAAAGTGACAGAAAGTGCAAATGAACAAGTCTTCACATGCATGAATTAAAATTGCATGTTTTTAAGAAAAGCCTTACATCCATGGAATTGAGTACTGGTATAGATAAAGGAAAGTAATTACTTATATAAAAATTTCTGTAGAATGTCCTCTGTGAAGAAAGTGTTTAAAAAAATCTACATTCATATGTAACAAGCATGCTTTGTTTCTTGTGTTGTCTTTGTAGTGCAGGAATTTTGCCAAAGTTTAACATAGAACATAAAGTAAATGGGAAATCAAATGCCCAATGTTTGCAGTGGTTATAATTCCACTGTTTATTTTTTTTGCCTT